GAAAAAAACGAGGCGAACCTGCTGCAACTTAGCATCGATGTTCGCCGTAGTGGACTCGTCCGACTTCATCGCTCTGCGCTCGTGTTTCATCGATGGATCGAAGCAACAAGGGAACTTCCTCCCTTCACACAAATCCAGACCTTCCGTGATGCATCTTAAAAAAATTCGTCATATTTATTATCGAATGGCTCGAAAATTCCCAAGTTAACAGTTTAACCGCCAAAATTCTCACGAGGCCGTATGTGATACTCAACAGTGAGGGAACACTGAATTTGAATGGGCAAAGATGAGCGTGGGCAGGGGGTCATTACCCTAAAATTTCAGCTTTCTAGATCCCGTGATTACCGAGATAATAGTTCACCCGCAAAAACTTTCACCACCGAAAATACCACTTATAAATGCTCCATATTTACAAGCTGTTCACGAATATAACTGCCACGAGCCAAACATCAAATTTTTGGCGAACAGTAACAAATACAGTACGGCTAAACAAAGCAGCAACGAAGGGGAGAAGGGGGAAGAAAGGCAAAAACTCAATTCTCTTGTTCTTTTTACTAGAATGACCTAAGGGATTTATTTGACGAGATTTGGGGGCTTTTTATTCAAGTACTGACCATTGTCCTATCGCACAATATTTTCTTCCTGCATCTCACCTTTGTCTGTTTTATACTTCCAGCGTCTTCTTTCACCGAATAATGATTTATACGCATATGGTTGTTTTTTGCTGCGACTTTACATCATTTATTTACTTTTTTTACTTATATTGTTAGTGAGACAACCAATCCCTCTACGATTCGTTCATTCGTTTCCATTGCATAAATAGCACATGCCAAGGAATCAAACCCGCCATCAGCTTGTTTCTAAGAAACCCTCAGATACTGAAGTCATTGAAAGCCCCCTCAATCGCTACTAACTAGTCAACAAACTATAGCTTAAGTTACTTCCCGCGCCCGCTTATCCCTTACGGAAAACTAACGACTCGCTCTTTGGCAACTACTAAAATTCGGCCTGCCGGCCAAACGGGTTAGGAGTTGGTTTGCGATGACTAGAAGATGGGGTGTGATTAAAGGCCAAGTGAGCAACGGGATAAGATTTTAGGCTTCGGGTAGGGTTTTAGGCTTTGGGTTGGGGTTTTATGCTTTTGAGGGGTTAGACGGTAGCCCTTTTGAGGGGTTAGATGGTTAGACCGAGGGATAGCGTTTTAGGCTTCGGGGATCATAACTGAGAGGTTTAGATGGCGTTATTGATTGGAAATAAGTTGAAATCTTAGTTGGAGGTGGGGATTGGAGACAGGGACGGGGTTTATGATGGACAACTCGGTAAAACGGTTTTCGCTGCCTGAGCTCAAACCCAAAAACCCAAAATCGTGTTGTGCGATCATGAGCCGAGTTTTTTTCCATCCTCAAATTCCAGCCGAGCCGAGTTTTTTTTTCTCCATGTGATCATAACTGCTTTAGTTTTCTTTTTTCCATGGATTGATAAATGAATGTTGGATTGGGACTAGTCTTTTTTCAGCTTAATTCAGGTTGTTTACGTGTATGCATACGTGTGCCTGCGTATGCCCGTGTGTGTATGTGTGTGTGTATGTGTGCGCGTGTGTGTGTGTGCGTGTGTGTGTGTGCATTCTTTAGATTTGCCGCCGGGGCAGCTGTTTCTAACACTCTGGGAGAAGCGGCAGGCTGGTTACTCGATGCACCTGGCACCGTGGCTTTCCGGTGATTCTCCATCCGTTGTACGAAGGCATGTTCGGGATGTTTTGTGAGGTTTTTTTCAGGAGCTCTGTTGATGCGTGATGTATCTGAAATTTTATATCGACGAACGGGGCAATAGGGTTTATACGCTCAAGGTAAGTCGCACTCTCATTCTTTGCGTTCTCTTCATTTTACATACTGTTTCTTCCCAATACCAAATCTTCAGTAGCGCCTTTTCGCCGGTCTCCTTTCATTCTCAGCCAGGTACCGAGGACACGTAGATTGAATAACTTGAAAATACATCAAGCCGAATACGTTTAATAATACCAAATATGATGATTGAGGAAGCCGCAGCTGCAAAAACTAATTGTATGGGGGGAAGGGGGGGGG